AGACTTTGAATTTTCACAGCCACCATCTCAGAAAACAGTGTCACTGCCTACCCACCGGCTCAAGTTACAAATTAGGTAGCATCTTTGTGCCCCCTGTCCTTCCCCATCCACTTGCAACCCAGCACCGGCACCGCGGGCTCTCCAACGAGGAGGGTCTCCGGGCCTCCACCTACTGTGAGACACGCCATGCCCTGCTCTGGGCCTCGCAGACCTGCCAACCAGCCTCCGGTCCCAACCTGTCGGCCAGGGAGTGATCTTTAAAAATCTTAGTGTGATTGTGTCTCCCTTACCGTGATGTGTAAGATTCTTCATCATCTTCCCTTTGCTCTTTGCTGTAAAGTTCTTCTCTGTGAGGCCCTGCATAATGGGCTGCTCTCTCCCCATTTACCGTTTGCTCACCAGGCCCCCCCACACGCTTTATTAAATGTAGAAAGCCCCTCCCAGTCTCTGGCCTTTATGTTGCTGTGTCCCCAGCTCTTGGCAAGGTGGCAACTTCGCATTCTTTGGTTCAGCGAGAACTCCCAGGTCATCGTGGCAAACATGGCCTGCCCAGCTACTTAGTACCCTTTTACTTTCTTCAGTGAACTTATCACAACCTAGTATTTTCTACACTCGTTGCAGTAGGTGGGCGCGAAGGTGGAGCCATGGCCTCACCTGTGGCATGCATGCCCTGTGGGACCCTCTGCCCGAGTGTGGGTGGGCCTGTGATTGCTTCTAACCCACAGAACACAGCAAAAGTGGCATGATTTGCCCTGGCCGTTTTGGCTCAGTGGATAGAGGGTCGGCCTGCGGACTGAAGGGTCCCGGGTTCGATTCCGGTCGGGGGCATGTGCCTTGGTTGCAGGCATATCCACAGTGGGGGAGTGCAAGAGGCAGCTGATCGATGTTTCTGGCTCTCTATCCCTTTCCTTCCTCTCTGTAAATAATCAATAAAATATATATTTTTTTAAAAAGTGGCATGATTACACAAGAATGTGACATCCCCTTGCTCAGAGACTCTCTGCCTTGGTGGCTTTGAAGAAGCAAAACAAAATGTGTGCACTGCCCCAAGAGAGGGACTTCGGGCCTCACCCCCACAGCCACAGGCACTGGATGCCACCAGTGACCATGTGGGCTTGGATGTAGATCCTTCCCCAGTCGACCTCAAATGAAAACCCAGCCCTGGCAACACTGATGCAGTCTTACTAAGCTCCCAGCAAAGGACCCGGGCTGCTTTGCTCCGGCCCCCCGCAGGCACCCGGGCCACCGGCTGGCTTCCCTCTGGCCCCAGCTTCGTCAGGAAGGAGGTCCGGAAGACATCTGGTCTAATTAGCATATTACCCTTTATTATTATAGATTAGGTCATCTGGAAATCCAGATGGGCTGAGCCCCAAAATGGCACCAGCACTCAGGGACGGGGAGATTTTAAAGGACTCTAGGTGGGCTTTTTCTGGGCAGAGAATTCTCTGGGCAGGTCTGGATCCTGGGAAGGTCCGGAGAGGAAGGATAATGGTCCTCACAAGTGGAATGTGGTCTAAGGGAAAGGGAATGTTGGTTGTGAAGTGGCCTAAAGATCAGTTCCCAGGGTAGGGGATATTGATTCAATTATTTGATCAGACCTAACATTCCAGCCTTTTTGTTTTATGGAATAGGGACAAAGGTCATATCTTTTGTAGTTACTTCCTGCTGAGGGGGGGACGTTGCTATCACAGGGGGATGGGTTTTGCTTGTAGTTGGCTGGAACACTGTATAGATTCCTCCTGGTTGGACCGAGGGGTTGCAGCAGCATGATTTCCCTGAGGGACTGGTTGGCGAAGGCTCAAAGTGGTCCTTAAGATGAAAAATGGTGCAGAATACATGGGCCAAGAACAAGGATGAGGAATAGGAATGTTAAAGGTCCTATGAAGGGAAGTAGCCAGGTATACCAGTTTATATTCTTTAGCAGGTAGTCCCATGAATTTGACTTTCACTATTCTTTGTGGCCCTTTCTGTTAATTTTGGGGCAATATCCCTGACTGGGGCAATATCCCTGACTAGGCCAAATTGATTGACATAAAAACATTAAAATTGTGAAGATAATGAACTGAACTAGAATCTAACATTCATAACTACGTGTATGGAATCTATTGAAACACATTTTCCCTGTAAAATCACCCTTATTTTTATTAAAGAGCTAAATCAAGACCCAATTTATTCACTGCAGTAAGTCTAATTACAATTTGGCCTGATTATTTGCACAAACACAATAAGGATAGCAATTGATTATATAGGCTTTTAAAAACCTGCTTTGCTGGAATCTCATGATTGTGCTTTAATTAGCCCCTCACGGCAAAGAAGCTGAGCCACCTAGCTGCCATCAGGTTTGCCTGCAATACCTGCAGACTTGGTGAATTCCTCAAGTTCTTGAAGTCCCCAGTGATGTCTTGAGGTCCCTTCTTGTCACTTTCTCTCAGGAAAGCAACCTTCATTCCTTACCTGAAAAGAATGCCATGAACCACGTCGCCTACAGCAAGGCACCAGGCTTTAAAATGTTAGGTCTAATCAAATACAGTGGGGCCTTGATTTACGAGTGTCCCGACTAACGAGTTTTTCGAGATACAAGCCGTCTCTCGGCCGATTTTTTGCTTTGAGTTGCGAGCTAAAATTCGGGTTACGAGCCAGCTTCAGATACCCACCGCTAGTCGGCGCAGCGAATGTCACAGTGAATGCCACATCAGCCCAGCATCACGTTTCTCACTCGTTCACTTTAAGATTTGACATACGAGTAATTTGAGTTACGAGCTCCATCACGGAATGAATTAAACTCGTAAGTCAAGGCCCCACTGTAGAAGCAATACTCCTCCCCTGGGAACTGACCTCCAGGCCACTTCAACCAACATTCCCTTTCCCTTAGACCACATTCCACTTGCTAAGACCATTATCCTTCCCCTCCAGACCTTCCCAGGATCCAGACCCACCCAGAGAATTCTCTGCCCAGAAAAAACCCGTTTAGACTCCTTTAAAACCTCTGACTCCCTGTCCCTGGGTGCTGGCACCATTTTGGGGCTCAGCCCATCTGGTATCCAGATGACCTAATACATTTATAATTCTTTACCTCTTTTGGCCTCATGTGTTCCCCCTTCAGCAACCCTAACATTTGGTGCCAAAACCTGGGAGGGTTCCACAGGGAAGGCGAGCCATCGCCCGGGGACTGGTCACCCTGAGTTTGCTACTCGGAGAGCAGGAGGCAGCAGCAGCTTGACCTGGGCTCACCTCCGCATCCCACTCGGTGACGCGATCACCGCCTCCATTAGGCCTCCCTCCCGTATGGGCCTCTGGACCAGCCAAGGAGGACGCCAGCTCACCTCGTCTCCGGTAAGTGACAACTGGATCAACCCTCCAGATTTCTGATTTGCCGTCTCAGACAAAAGACCTAGCGCTAGGCCAGGAATCCTCTCCAATCCCGCCTTTGCCCAGGGACCAGGTCCCACAGTCTTCCTCTCAGGGGACTCCCACCATGCAAATCAGACTGTCTTCCTCCCTCCGGAGCCAGCTGGGACTAGCCAGCTGGGATGCCTCCCTCAGTCTAGCTTCCCGGGTCTCCGTGTTGCTTACCTCCTCTTCCTAATATACACCACGGGGAATTCTTTTTCCGTCCCCCACTCCCTCCAAAAACACTCCTTTGGGGTGTCTCCTCCATAATGTTAACACACTCGGCCTTTCCACAGAGGTTCGGCCAAGAGCCGTCTCTTCTATTGTAATACTGCCCGGCCACAATAAATCAGACATGATGCACACTGGACTGAGAATGGAAATATCAATTTTAACATTCTCCGGGACTTAGCTTCCAATGGGAAGTGGTCAGAGATCCCCGACGTCCAAGCCTTCTTTACACTCCGTAATCGTCCTTCTCTGTGTCAAACCTGCTCTGCCTCTCAAATCCCACTTCACACAAAGCCCCTCCTGCCAACCCTGGGCCTTTGCACCCTGAGGCCTCTGGTCTGTCCTTCCCCACCCGTCAGGTCCCTCAGACCCCTTCTTTGACCCTGACAGCCGTGCCAGGACTCCTACCACACGGAAAACGTGACATGTGTTCTGGTAAGTCCGTGGTTTGTGGCAAGTTGTTCTGTAACAACAGAGAACTGACACGCTTGTTAAGTGACTCCCTCTTTAGAAAGGAAACTTCAGGAAACTTCTCATTTTTCTCTACTCAGACCCCAGAGCCCAGCGGGGTAGACACTCACATGAAGGAAAGGCACATTCCATGAACACTCCCCAGCAATGTCCATACCCTGTGCTTGGCAGGGATAGGCAGCTCTTCGCTAGTACAGGGGAAGGCACTTTTGGTGACAGATGTGGCTATCATGAGATGCTGAAAAGCTTCCTTTATGCCCTACTGTGGCAAACTGCCCACATCTGTTTTTGTCTGTCTAGCAAACATTTCCTTTCCTTCTGACATTCCTTGTGAGCCTCCTCCCATCTGTCTGCACCCCAGTACCTCCACCCTATGTGGGACCAGTGGAGCTGACCTACCCCCTCCCCGGGTTCCTGAAGAGCGTGCCCAGCCCAGCCCTGCCCTATCAGCACAGTCCATCCCCGTCACTGGATTGGTCCAGGGTTGCTCACATGACCCAAGCCTGTCTAATCAGACCCGAGCCAGACCCGAACACCTGTATGTACTATTAGAAAAGAGCAGCCTCCTTGTCCCGCACAAAGTGCTACCCATAAGGCTGCTGTAAGCCAGAGCTGCCGGATGGCCATGCAGGGAGGGCCTGCGGAAAGGCAGCTCACTCCAAGGGACGCAGTGCTGAGGCAGAAGGGAGCCTGGGCCCAGCAGCGCCGCAAGACCTAGCCCCGGGCTTCCTAGCTGAAATGAATCCCTCCCCTCAGCCTCCTGTTTTGTAAGCCACTTTGAATTGTCTACCACTAGCAACTAAAAAGCCATCTTACCAGGATCTGCCATGAAATCGACAAAGAACAAGGGGGTCTGATGTCTAAAGAGAAAGGAAATAGAAAGTAAAAAATAAAATAAAAATAAAAAATGAAAATCTAAACAAATATTTATTGAATAAAATGCCACAGCAAATAAACCACTGAAGTAGAAATTCCATAGAATTTTAAAAATTTCTGTAGTCCTTTAGCGTTTTCATAGAACTTTTTTAAAAAATGGCTTAACAGGACAAGTTCTTTAAAACAATACAAAAGTATCAAGTGCAAAGAGTAAAAGCACTTCACAGGAGTTAGCAGTGGATACTATTCCTTTAGACTTTTGAAAAAATGCTCTTGACTATAAAATTAAGGCTGTTCTAACTTTGAGAGTCCATTATTGTCCAATGTTGCTGTTCTTTCTGATAAAAAGCTAATAACACCGAAGAGCTTGCTCTGGTTTGGATATTTCTCACCCCCACTCTTGTTTCAAACCAGTGGAGAAATAAACAGCTCCTCCCATTTCTAAAAAAAAAAGGAAGAGATAAAAAACAATCCACATTTGCTCCATTTGGGCCCTTGGACACAAGATCCTTGGGTCAAGTCAACCTTGGGGTCCCATCGCCAGGCTCTAGGGGCTCAAACTGCCAAAGGCAAGTCTGCCTCATGGGGAGAAGGGGTGAGTGGCCGAGTTGCTGAGCAGGGCAGTTCTCACAGGGCCACGGCAGGGCCCTCTGCGTCGTAATCCCAGCGGCATGTATGCTCCGACAACCCTCCAAAGACGACTGGGAACAGGCTCCGTCTGCCCGTCGGCGTTCCTGGTAGGGCCCCTGCAACCCTGCAGACTTCACGGCCGGCTGGCGTCATCGCTGGGGTTCTGTGTCAGTGGTCTGTTCCGTGACGAGAGCAAATGGTCAGCTCTAGGGCCTCTGTAAAGAGCAGGGCTGAGAGTGTACACAGCTGAATCTGTGCCGTGCTTTGATAGTTATTTTTAGCTGCTTGCTGTCACCACACGGGATTGGGGCCACACCAGTTTCACAGGTGAGGAGACCAAGGGCACAAGAAGTTAAAATGACTACGTGGAGACAGGGCTGATGCCCTTTTCCCTTTTTTCATCTGGATATCGTGCTGCCTGTATCCTCACAACAATCCAGGGAGAAAGGTAGAGCAAGGAGGAACCCTATTTTACCAATAAAACAGCTCAAGCCCTGGCCATGTGGCTCACTGGGTTATGCTCTAACCGTTAGAGCATTGTCCTGATACGTCAAAGTTGCAGGTTCGATCTCCGATCAGGGCACATACGAGAATCAACCAATGAATGCATAAGTAAGTGGAACAATAGATCGATGTCTCTCTCTCTCTCTCTCTCTCTCTCTCTCTCTCTCTCTCTCTCATCAATACATTAGAAAATAAAGAAAAAGAAATCTGAGAATAGAGAAGTTAAACAGTATATTCAAGATCACACAGCTAAAAGTGGTGGAGCTGGGATTCAGACCCTTATCTTCAGATTCCAATTAGTCAACTATTTCTTGATGATTCAACACCAGGGAGGTGGGGGAGGAGAAACAGGTGGGTCTTTTTTAGCCCCTGTGATGGCGATTTCCGAGGGTAGTGCTGCTGATATTACCTGGATCTATGGGCTGACAATCCCATCACACACCAGCCTGGCTGACAAACACAATCCCAAGGTGCATCTCCTCGCAAGATTTTCCTTCAGGAGCTGAGAGAACTAAACACTTCATCGCCTGCCCTTCCAGCCTGGAGCACCCACCTGACAAAACACTAGCCACAGAGGTTGGTTGGGGAGGATGGAGAGAGGTCCCGGGAAAACTTCACATGATAGAAAGGGCAGACTCCGCCGCTGAAGGAACTCAATTGGTCTTGCTTCACCTGCTCTGAACGTAGTTGGTGCAGCCAGAGCCATAGCATCTTCCTTGTGGTTATCAGGTGACAACCGATCGGCTCTAGATGGCAATACACAAGCAGGTGGCTGGGATGTGATGGCGCCAGAGGGCCCGGGGAACGCTGGGTGTCTCCAGCTTTTGGTTAGGCCATAAAGTAAACCCATTTGTCTAAGCTGGTATCTGCTTCGGGTTTCATTACTGACAGCCAAAGCATTCCTACCTGATAACACAGGGCTGAGAAGGAATCCTATCTCCCTTAGGAAGAGCTGTAAGGAGGCCAGGCACTGTACGTAAGCGCCGTACGTAAGCAACGTGGTGGCTCTACCAACTGCCCCACTCTCCCACCACGGGCCAGAGGCCTCGCGATGCCCTGCCGAGGAGCGCGGCCTCCTCCTCCTCAGGCTGGCTTAGCTGCACAGGAGGCAGGTCAGTTGGCTCCTCAAAAGACTGCTTAGTTCCCATAAACCCAGCTTAGAGTTTTGTTTCCTTTTTTCCTTTTTTAAAATTTTAGTTATGTTATTTTTTGTTTTAGGGTCAAAATTCCATTTGCATCATGAAATAAAGTTCCTCTCCCTCTGTGCTGTGGATTATTTAACAAGAGAGGCATCTGTGCAAGGGCTTTCCACTGACAACTATTTTCTTAATAGCAGAACACACATCTTTTTCACTCTCATGCTCCAATTTTTCACAGTGTAATTGGAAGAGCCACATGACTCAATGAACCAATATTCTCCAATGACCAACGAAGTTACGAAATCGTGCACGGCTGGAAAGATCTATTGCGAGTACGAGATAGACCAGTGGGTTCTAATGTAACGAGGTGCAGCAGGTCCCCGACCGCGCCTTTTGTCCCAGCACGGATGCAACGCCACAGGCTTGTGCGCTTGGTGAGCTACCTGTGGTCACACTGGCTTCATGCACCATTTTGCTTAAAGTCTCAGAACGTAGGATGACTTGAAGTGAGAACTTGCTGACAAAAGCTCACATTGCAACTGGCCATTAAGAGCTGCACTTCCCGAGCTCGGTGCTCTAGCACAGAGCAGGCCTGACCATCTGCGAAGGCGGCTCCTCGCTCCAAGCACCGGCCCAGCGCAGCACACAGTGGGACAGCGCACAGACAGGACAGCCCACCCCCTAGGGCAGTGATGGCGAACCTATGACACATGTGTCAGAGGTGACACGCGAACTCATTTTTTTGGTTGATTTTTCTTTGTTAAATGGCATTTAAATATATAAAATAAATATCAAAAATATAAATCTTTGTTGTACTATGGTTGCAAATATCAAAAAATTTCTACATGTGACACGGCACCAGAGTTAAGTTAGGGTTTTTCAAAATGCTGACATGCCGAGCTCAAAAGGTTCGCCATCACTGCCCTAGGCAGACATTAAAGATCTCTGCAAAATGGGAAACAAGGCCACTCACTCCTTCCGTTTTGTATTGGAAGCATAATTACTTTTCATAAAAATATGTTCTGTATATCAACAGGTAATTTTGTTCTTTTAAATGAATATTTTTCAAATTTCTGTTATAATTTCCATTTGAATAATTATCGATACACTGAAACCACATAAACAAAAATTCTCCGAAAGACTCATCTTTTTAAAGAAGGTAAGGTGGGGCCTGGGAACAAAAGGTTGAGCACTGCCGCGTGGAGAGCACAAGGGTCCAAGCACCTTGCCTGGGAGCAGCCCTGACTCCATCTCCGTCTCTCCATGACCGACAGAGGGAGGAGGAGGTGGCCAGGAGCCAGCCCTGACTCCGTCTCAGTCTCTCCGTGGCCGCGGGCGGTGCTGGGGCTGCGCCTGTGGCAGAGCCTGTGCAGCAGGGAGAGGCGTGGACACAGAGGCGTCAACCTCAATAAGCTAAACAGACCAACATTTCCTCTTTCATCTCCTTCAAGACTGACAGCGATCAAAACAATGTATGAGAAGCCTCATGCAACTGCAGGGATATCCATGAGGCTCAGGGCTACTCTGTAGAAACCAAACTTAGCATCTCAGTCCTGAGAGCATGGGCTGGCGCGCCGCAGTCCTCGGGCCAAATCTAGCCTACTGCCTACTTTTGTAAATAAAGTTTTATTGGAACTCAGAGACACTCATTTTTGTTGGCTAATTGTCTATTGCTTTCACACCACAGCACCAGAGCTGAGTGGTTGCAACAAAGACCACACGACCTGCCAAATCTGAAATGCACCATCTGGCCCCTTATAGAACGCGTTTGCCGACCCCGGTCCTAAAGTCATTTTACATCTCGGGTAAGAGGCCTTTAAGTACCTGATCTGGATCTGAGTCCCTTCCCTGCCACTTGGTGCTGGGACTTGGCCTCCTTCTCCCTGTTGCAAAATGGGGCTAGTGCCTGCCTCCCCGGTGGCTGTGAGGGTCCCTGGCCCAGAGCACGATTAATTCAGCAAGGGCTGAAATGAAGCACAACGGGTCACAGCCCACCTGGAACTCAGATCCAAAAATCCTCCAGGACAAAATGCAAGCATAAAAAATCCCCTTGGGAGCCCCTTAGGATGGTGGCCCATTACAGGCACGAGGCCCCGGCCCGCTGGTCCCTCCAGCAGCTGAATGTCAGATGGAGCGCTGTCCCCACACAGGCCCTGGAGAAGGAATCCGCCTGGGGAACAGCTCCAAGCCTCAAGCTCAAGACTTACACGCGATGTGAACAGGGACCAAGACAGAACATGGATATTCCTCCCAGAAAAATACCTTAATTTGAATTTCTGTAAATTAATGAACATCTTTCTAAAGGAACAAATCAACAGCTACCTCATAGAGTTGCCATGACAACACAATAATTGTCGTGTGGGTGGACGAGAGCGATAGTTTTGTTTGAAACTCCACTGTGAATTCCCACGTGATGCCCGATGTGCGCAGGGAACGATGAGGACCTGGCCTCCTACAATTACGCTTCTAACACTGATGGGTGAGGGTATTATTTGTAACACCCCCCGAACCCCGCCCCGCAAGGAAACGAGTAGGTACCGCATTGATAGGTGTTTACCTGGGAGAAAACCAGTAGTTGATGAGGCTGGACATTGCCACGTAGGACACGATGATCGTCCCTGACACGGAGAGTGACACGAAGCCCAGGACACAGAGGACGCAGAATAGCGCGATGCCGCCCACAGAGATGACCAGCCCTGGAGGAGAGCTTGGTTAGTGGCATCATCTCACACAGCTGCCAGACCCTGGAACATTGTGTTTAAAAAACAGTTAACTCGGACTTTTTTAAGTGAGAAAAATATGTTTTTCATAAAGGGATCCGTGAGGGAAAACGCAGTACCAGCTATCAGGGAGGGCGGGGCTCTCAGAGCAGACAGCCCGAGGCGGATGCTAGTTAAGTCATTCACCGCCTCTGGGGCCTCCTGGAGCGTTAGTTTGACGCGTCTGTACAAAGGGTAAGTGATGAATGACTGCCGGTGCTGACCTGACAACTCCATGACTTGCCACCTGTGTGCTGGGCGGTGGCAGTTCTGTCTGCCCTGCTTCTCCTTCCCCCTCAGAACAAAGTCCCCCTTTCCAACGTAGGACTAAGGACATGGCAGGGACGGCTGGCAGACACCCTGCTTCTTGCCTCAGGCGTAGTGAGCAGCCGGGACTCACCCCCATGGCCTTGGTGATCGTCTGTAAACATAGAATCTAAACAATGTGCTGCCTTTTCATGAAGCCTCACAGTCCTAGGTCAGCGTTTTCTGAAGTGCGGCCAGTAACCACGCATCAGAACCAGAGGCATTGGGAGGCTGGTTAGAAATTCAGATTGCTGGCCTGAGCTGGTCTGGCTCAGTGGATAGAGTGCCCGCCTGTGGACTGAAAGGTCCCAGGTTTGATTCCTATCAAGGGCACATGCCCAGGTTGAGGCTCTCCCTTCCTCTCTGAAATCAATAAAAATATATATATTTTTAAAAATTCAGATTTCTGGACCCTACCTCAGACCTCATCTCTGGATGAGGCCTGAAGCCATCATTTTCACAAAGCAAGACTCATGCACACTCAAGTCCGAGAACCACTGCTCTAAAGGCTTTGCACATGCTGTTCCTCCGGCCTAGAAAGCCCTTCCTTACCCAAAGGAAATGACGTTATCGCACATCATCAAGCCCTGCCTTCTGTAAAGCTTTGTCACCAAAATAAAGGGGACCCACCTCTCTCTCTAAACTCACTTTGTCCCCGTACTCATTCATCCCTCCACCATTCATTCACTCGCCCACCTGCCCATCAATACTTACTGAACGACCACTCTGCCAGGAGGTAGTTGGCTCATCGCCCACCATGCCTACCTTCTTCAAGTATAAACTGCCTCGTCCAGTCCCCGGGGCAGGGAAACAATTCTGGGTGCTCTTGGCTCTGAGAAGCCACAGCAGGGACGGCAGGTGACTGCCTGACCCACTGCCAACCATCCCTTGGCTAGCGTGTTGTGGCTTGTGATCTGACTTGAAAAGGCAAACCGAGCCAAACAGATCTGCTTTCTGGGCGACGTGAACTTAGCATCACAGGAGGAGGCTGAGAGTTGGCACTGGAACGTCAGGAGGAGGGGGAGAAGGGGAGCCGCAGTACCTCGCAAGGCACAGCAGGCAGCGGGCGCTCAGTGACTGGCTGGCGTGATGGCCTCTGTTGGACAACGGTCAGCATTCACGGAGAGGCTGCCCTGTCTGTGGACTGTGCTAAACACTTCACGAAATGTCAGTTCCAATCCTCACAACAACCCTGAGACAGCATGTTATATCCCTGCCTCACAAAGAGGAATCTGAGGCTCAGTGAGGGTATAGAACTGGTCCAACATTGCACTGGGGGTGCAAATTCTAATGCAGACTCTGGAGCCCGTGTTTTAACTACTCTGACAAGCGGCCGTGGTCCATGTGATTTTGACAAGAGTAGGGACCTTTGACCAGAGTTGCAGATGCCCAATAAACAGTGTTCTCCCAGCTGAGTCGTTTTTCCAAGGGGGCGAATAACTGAGCAAGTACCTTCCAGTAACATGACGCCCACAAAGGCAGCCAGGGAGGTAAGTACCACGAGGAGCAGGAAGAAGCCAACAGGAACGGCCGACATTACAACAAACACCAGCAAGGTGAGGGCCGCAAAAGGGTGGCGGTCCAGGTACTGGCCCACTGGAGACTTCATGAAGGCAACCACCTGCGGGCAGAAGGAAGAGCCAGGATTGGATGCACGTCTGATGCCGCACGCTGGAAGGCTCCTGAGGAAGAGCAATAACCCTCCCTGACGGGAACCCTCACACCCACAACTGAAGGCGACTGAGAGCCCCACCCAACCGCGAGCCCTGCGAGGGAGGAAGGGCCTCTGAGCAGATGCCCAGCATGTGTGCACTGATGCGCTTCTGTACATCTGCCTCCCACTGCACAGCAGAGGCCAGAGGCACAGAGGTCAGGTCCCAGCTCACCTGCTTCTGGAAACGCAGCATCGCAGCCCTGCCCAACCCCCACGTCAGATGCTGCTGGTAAACAAGATGCCCGGCTGCCCAGCTGCTCCGTGCACCCACTAAAGCTGAGGCAAGGGGGGACTAAGGCGTCACCTAGAGCCACGCAGCTTCCACATGGCACAATGGAGGCAATCAGAGCTAAATCCCTCTCTCCCTGTCAAATGCTTTCAACGACTGCCACCTTGATAGGAAAAAGCCTTTCCGTCATCAGCCTGGACACCACGTTGGCCACAGCTGGACGGCTACTGCAGTTTGTGCTGCGTCAACAAGCAGTTCTCCTTCTTCACCAGGTGCGGGGACCTTGTGGGCCAGCTCAGTAGAGGAGGACTGCTTTCACTCAGAGCCAGCCCAGGATGGGCCTCTCTCTGTAGGCCGCATGCCAGCTCTCTCCTGGAACTGACATGCTGATTCCTGCTCCCTTGAAAGGTCCCATCATTCCAGAACTTTTCCCAGTAAAAACTGGTCCTTCCTATGCCTCATTCCTTAGAGTCCTGTAGGCCAGCAGCTGAAATGAAGACATAATTCAAGCTACAGTGATCACAGGCAGCACAACTCAATCCTCATGTGCCTCTACAAACAGCTGTGGCTTGTGATCTGACTTGAAAAGGCAAACCGAGCCAAACAGATCCGCTTTCTGGGAGACGTTAACTTAGCATCACAGGAGGAGGCTGAGAGTTGGCACTGGAACGTCAGGAGGAAGGGGAGAAGGGGAGCCGCAGTACCCCGCAAGGCACAGCAGGCAGCGGGCGCTCAGTGACTGGCTGGCGTGATGGCCTCTGTTGGACAACGGTCAGCATTCACGGAGAGGCTGCCCTGTCTGTGGACTGTGCTAAACACTTCACGAAATGTCAGTTCCAATCCTCACAACAACCCTGAGACAGCATGTTATATCCCTGCCTCACAAAGAGGAATCTGAGGCTCAGTGAGGGTATAGAACTGGTCCAACGTTGCACTGGGAGTGCAAATTCTAATGCAGACTCCGGAGCCCGTGTTTTAACTACTCTGACAAGCGGCTGTGGTTCACGTGATGTTGAGTGTCTCAATGGTGGGAGGTGAGCAGGCTGCAAGGCAGGAGGCGCTCAGTGACGGGGACCCAAGTGCAGGGCTCCCTCTCCTTACCCAGAAGAGGCCTCTGGAGGAGAACTCTCCCGGCCAGACACACCCTGCCAGGCACAGAGGGCACACTGCCCACTGGCTACCCTGCCCCCACTGCTCCTTTCTACAAAAGCTGCCAAGTGTTGCTCTGCAGCTTCTCTAGCAGAGGGGACGGTGCAGGAAGCCCGCTGGCTTAGACTGCCCAGCTCTGCCCTCCAGGACACAGCAGGATTCTCGGGGGGCGGGGGGGAGGGTGCTGAAGGCGAGGGGCGAGGCCATGAGAGGGTCATGGGAGTGGGCTGGCCCCTTGAGCTGCCCAGGTCCAGTCCACATATATCCTTAGTAAGCCCCCCAGGCTATCTGACCAGCTGATTGGTTCTCTCTGGTTCTTCCTCGCGACAGTCCCAGTGACCACGCGGGAGGGAGGGTGAGGGTGAGCTCCAGGTGCCAGCACGGTCGCTGTCGAGCACCTGAAATGTGGCTTGTGTGACTGATGAACTGGGTTTTTAATTGAATTTAAATTTAAAAATTGAAATGTGATTCAGGCATTGGAAAGTTTTAAATTACATTTTGAATAAGTCAGTTATGTCTCAAATAAATTTTCAACTGAAAATTTTATGAAATCTGAATAAAGATAAAGTATTTCCAATAAAAATTTAACATCTGAATTGAATGCTCTGAGTATATGGAAAAAAGGATGTAAAATATCTCAGTAGTGATTTACACCAGTGGTCGGCAAACTGCGGCTCCCAAGCCACATGCGGCTCTTTGGGCTCCTTGAGTGTGGCTTCTTCCACAAAATACTGACTTCTGCACATGGGCCACAAAGGTTTCAATCCGCACCTGTCCGGCCCCCCCCCCCCGGGGATTTTGTGGGAAGACCCACACCCAAGAAGACCAATGACCAGGGTGTAAGTTGGGGTAGCAGAAGTTTGGTGTTTGACAGATGATGTCAATACGATCATCCGAAATCGACGTCACCGTACACGAAGATGAGTGATACTCTCTTCTATGGTGAGCAATTATGCGGTAAAAATAATGTTCATCTATATGATTGTGAGTGCTTTATAT